TATAAATAAATAAATAAATAAATAAATAAATAAATAAATAAATAAAATAAATAAATAAGTAAATGGCTAATCACTACTAGGTGACCCTCCCCTCCCCAGAGCGAGCGTTGTTGCTGCTGCTGCTGCAGCTGTTGCTGCAGCTGTTGCTGCTGCTGCAGCAGCAACAGCAGCAAAATTGTTAATTATTTATTAATTATTTTTTTTATTTTTTTATTTATTTCTTTTTTTATTTGCATGCATGCAGAGCTGCCTATACACCTAAATTATGCCATTAAGCGCTACTATTAATAAATAAATAAGTAAATAAATAAATAAATAAAATAAGTAAATAAATAAATAAATATAAATAAATAAATAAAATTAATAATTAGTTGCATTAATACAAACAAAAATACACTGCAGCTGTTTATACAAAGCAGCAGCAATTGCTGCTGCTGCTGCAGCAGCGGCTTCGCTGCTGTTGCTGCTGCTCGTGCTGCTGCTGCTGCTGCGTTTGCTGCATGCAGCTGTTGCTGCTGTCGTGCTGCTGCTCCAGCTAATTTGCTGCTGGTACAGTAGCAGCAGCAGCAATCTTATTGCTGCTGCTGCAGCACTCTTGCTGCTGTCGTGCTGCTGCTCCAGCTATTTTGCTGCTGATGCAGCAGCAGCAGCAGCAGTATTGCTGCTGTTGCTGCAGCACTCTTGCTGCTATTGCTGCATTTGCTGCAACTCACCCCCCAACTTGTTGAGAGTATTTACAACTGTCTATACACCTTGCTGCTGCAGTTGCTGCTGCTGCTGCTGCAGCAGCAGCAGCAACAGAACCAGCAGCAGCAGCAGTTGCTGCTGCTGCTGCTGCTGCAACAAATCAGATGGAGGGCCTATCGCACCTCATTTCTCCATCATCGGAGTTGTCTGTCTCCTCTTGCTGTTGCTGCTGCTGCTGCTGCTGCTGCTGTTGCTGCTGGGTGTTTGCTGCGAATAGAAGCAGACCTCTTCTTGTCTGCTGCTCATGAGGCACAAATCTGCCTTGCAGCAGCTCGTGCTGCTGCTGCAGCTGCTGCTGCAGCTGCTGCTGCAGCTGCTGCTGTTGCTGCAGCTGCTGCATTTGCTGCCTAGGATGTTGCTGCGTCGCTCGCTGCAGCCGCTGCTGCAGCAGCACGGCTGGCATATCCATCGCATGCGAATTCTGCTGCTGCTGCTGCTGCTGCTGCTGCTGTTGCTGCTGCTGCTGCACAAAAAACCTGAAATCGCCGTTGACTGCATGACATGGGACAGCAGCAGCAGCAGATGCTGCTGCTGCTGTTGCTGCTGCTGCGGCACGAATACCTCCAGCTGTAGGAGAGGCAGCCGCAGACTGTTGTTGGGTGCCGTTAGCTGCTGCTGCTGCTGCTGTTGCTGCTGCTGCTGCTGCTGCTGCTGCGTCACTTGATCCATCGGCATCCCATTCGGAGTCTTTCTTGAAGTCATCAAAGAAACTATTGTTACGCACGGGTAGCTGCTGCTGCTGCTGCTGCTGCTGCTGCTGCAGTTGCTGCTGCTGCTGCGGCGGCAAATCTGGCAAGCAAGAGGAGCTAAGAATGCAAAAGCTGCTACCATGCCGAGCAGCATAGAGGCTGCCTTGTTGCTGCTGCTGCTGCTGCTGATTGAGTCGCTGCAGCCGCTGCTGCTGCAGTTGCTGCAGTTGCTGCAGTTGCTGCAGTTGCTGCAGCTGCTCCCGCAGCCTTTCTGACCACGGCTGCTGACACAAGAGCGGGTTTGCTGCTGCAGCAATAGCAGCAGCAAGTACAGCAGCAGGCCTGCTTTGCTGCAGCAGTTCTACCCGCTGCTGCTGCAGCAGCAAACCTAATGGGCTGCCTCTATGGCCTGGAGCGCTGCTGCTATGAGAACTGTTGCTGCTGCTGCTGCTGACGCTGCTGCTGTCGCTGCATGCGCTGCTGCTGCTGCTGCCGCTCTGCGAGCTGCATCTGCTGCTGCTGCAGCCAATTGAGGAACGACGGAGCTCCCTATCTGCAGCAACAGCAGCAAAACAGAAACACAACAGCACATGCAACAGCAAATATACATCAAGCAGCAGCAGCAATTGAAGCAGCAGCAGCAGCAGCAAAAGCACTAGCAGCAGCAGCAGCAGCACTCTAGCAACGAGAAGACAGACGTTGTGATGACAGCCCTGCTGTTATTCTTGTTGCTGTTGCTGCTGCTGCTACGCTGCTGCTGCTGTTATGTCTGCGGTTCTTACCCATTGCCCAGTGTTGCAGTGAAGTTTGCTGCTGCAGCCTGCTGCTGCTGCTGCTGCTGCTGCTGTTGCTTCTGCTGCTTTCCTCAATTGCGTCGTTAAATGCCCCATCAGAGATGCGGCAAACACTGCGTGGCTCTGCTGCTGTTGCTGCTGTTGCTGCTGCTGCTTCCTCTGCACGAGCAGCAGCAGTTGGGGACCAGGATGCAGCTGCTGAGCAGCGCAACAGCTGCTGCTGCAGCTGCAGCAGCTGCTGCTGCTGCTGCGATAGACAGCAACGACGGTATAGCCCTTGTACACATTTCAGCAGCTGCAGCGCAACAAACAGCAGCAACAGCAGCAGCAGCAGCAACAATAACAGCAGCAGCAACAGCAGCAGATGCATTAAAAGTTTGCTGCTCTAGCCAAGTAAGTGAGTGAGACTAGCCTCAGCAGCAGCAGCAGCAACAGCAGCAGCAGCAGCAGCAGCAAAAGTGTTGAATTTGTGACTGCGTACAGCTTGAGCAAGACAAGGTTGGATGAGTCCTGTTTGCTGCTGCTGCTGCTGCTGCTGCTGCTGCTGCTCAGCAACAGCACGCAGCCATTGCCCCTCTTGTACTGTGAGGAAGCAGCAGAGTGTTCTTATAAAAACAGCTTTTGTATATTTGCTGCTGCTCCTGTGTCTGCTGCTGCTGCTGCTGATGCTGCTGTTGCTGCTGCGCTTCAGCAGGTCCTGCTGCCCACTATTCATTTGCTGCAGCAGCAATATTAAGAGCAGCTGCAATGTGCTGCCTGCTGCATCAGGCATCAGCTGCTGCTGTTGCTGCTGCTGTTGCTGCTGCTCTTGCTGCTGTCGTCGCCGCAGACGGTGTCGTGCTATCTGTTGCGCTACGCTGTTGTTGCTAGGACTCCTGTGTCTGCTGCTGCTGCTGCTGCTGCTGCTCTTCCTGGCTACATGTCGGCTATCAGCAGCAACAGCAGCAGCAGCACTTGCTGCTGCTGCCTTCATATCCATACTGCATCCGTTGCTGTTGCTTCTGCTGCTGCTAAGAGACTCAGCAGCAGCAGCAGCACCTCCTGTCCCATCAGCAGCAGCAGCACTTTGCGCTGCTCCTGCTGGGTGTGCTGGTGTCCTGTCTCTTTGCTGCTGTTGCTGCTGTTGCTGTTGCTGCTGAGACACTTGCGCCTGCTCCTTCTGCTGCTGCTGCTGCTGCTGCTGATAAGGACTAGAGTTTAATAAGAGAGGGAAGAGACCCTCAGGGTCCTGCAGCAGCAACCAGCAGGAGGTGCGCAGCAACTTCATGCGCAGCAGCGGGTGTCCTGCTTGTCTATGCCGCAGCAGCAGCAGCAGCAGCAGCTCCTGTAGATGAGCAGCAGATAAACGCTGCCTATACACCCCAACTAGCAACTCCCATAGAGCAGCAGCAGCAGAAGCAGCAGCAGCAGATACATCGCAGCGAGCCTGTAAGCAGCCTGCTGTATACATAAGAAAATTGTATAAGGAAACTTGCTGCTGCTGCTGCTGCTGCTGCTGATCTTGCTGCTCTTGTTGCTGCTGTTGGTCCTGGTGCTGCTGCTGCTGCTGCTGCTCAATGTCTACAACCTCAGGAGCGCATGCAACAGCATAGGCAATGCAGCAAATCCCCTCCTGCAGCAGCGCCTCGTCATCACTGCGCAGCAAAGAGGACAGCAGCAACTGCAGCACAGCAGCAAACGTGCTGCTGCTGCTTAAATAGGCCCTTGTTGCTGGGTCTGCTGCTGTCATCCCTGTTGCTGCTGTCCCCGCTGCTGCTGCTGCTGCTGCTGCTGCTGAGTGAGGCTTCTCAGTGTCTACAGAACCATTTGGGCCCTGAAGCGAAAGCCGCTGCTGCTGCTCGTGCTGCTGCTGCTGTTGCTGCTGCTGCTGCTGCAGCAGCAAAGCTGCCTGCAGACAGCTAGATAACGCCTCTATACAAGTGCAGATCTCATAGGGGGAAACAACAGGAGGATCAGCAGCAGCACAGACAGTACGTCCTCCAAGGCACTCATCTGCTGCTGCTGTTGCTGCTGCTGCTGCTGCTGCGCCACACACTCCTACTGCTCTTTGCCGCTGCAGCAACACCCCACGCTTCCTATCCACTGCAGCACATCGCTGCAGCCGCTGCAGCAGCGGAGGCAGCAGCGCGCTGAAGACCTGTACACTGAGAACAACAGCAACAGCAGCAGCAGCAGCAGCAGCAGCAGCAAATGATCGAGTGAATGGATATGCAGCAGCAGCAGCAGCAGCAGCAGCAGCAGCAGCAGCACGAGAAGGCACTATATGTATCCCCCCTCCTAGAATCAACTGCAGCGTCATCAGCAGCAACAGCGGCAGCAGCATCCAGTGCGGTACCCTGCAGCAGCAGCAGCAACAGCAACAGCAGCAGCAGCAGCAGCAGCAGTACCTGTGTCTCTGGCAGACAACAGCAAGGAGACGAATAAAGCTTTGTACATAAGGATTGCATGGTGGTCTTCTTGCTGCAGCACGCAGCAGCAGCAGCAGCAGCTCCTCCATGTGTCCTTCTACGCATAGCTGCTGCAGCACAGCAGCAGGTGTAACAAGCAGCACACGCTGCAGCAGCAGCAGCAGCAGCAAGAAGCAGCTAGAGTTCCCGCTTAGTCCCCGCAGCAAACGAGGCAAAGACACCCAGAAGCAGCAGCAGCTGCTGGCAGCAAATCCTTCGTCCTTGCTGCAGCAGATAAATGCCTCAAAGGCTACGCAGCCGCATAACCTGCAGCAGCAGCAGCAGCAGCAACAGCAACAGCAGCAGCAACGGCAGCAGCACAAGCAGCAAAAGATTAAACCCTTATAGTCCCAATAGCATCACAGCAGCAACAGCAGCAACAGCAACAGCAGCAGCAGCAGCAGCAGCTGGAGGAAACCTCTCCATTACAACTACCGCAGCAACACCACCACCACCACAACCAACAGCAGCAACAGGAGGAGCAGCAGCAACAGCAGCAGCAGGAGGAGCAGCAGCAGGAGCTTACCTAAGAAGTATATTATTTTTATCACTGCAGCAAGCAGCTAATGCTAATCTAACAATAGTTTGTACTTCTTGTGTATATTTACGGTGTACGTACACCCTAAGTGTGCATGCAACAAGGAAGCAGCGGCAGCGCAGCAGCAGCAATTGAATAGGGCCTGGTGATGCTCCAGCTGCTGCAGCTGCAGCAGCAGCTGCTGCTGCAGATGCTGCTGCTGCTAATGAGGAGGAAGGAGAGGAATCTGCTGCTGCTTCTGCTGGCTCTGCTGCTGTTAATACAGTTGCTATACACTTAACAGGAGACTCTAATAGTGCTGCTGCTGCTGCTGCTGCTGCTGCTTCCGCCTGGGTACAACCAACTGCCCATAGTCCTGCCTGATAACAAACAGCAGCAGCAGCAGCAGCAGCAGCAAGGTAGAAGCAATGTAGCAGCAAGAGATCATCAGCAACAGTAACAACAAGAGAGCAGCAGCAGCAATAGCAGCAGCAGCAGCAGCAGCAGCTAACCTCCAATAGAGACCACCAGGGCTGCCGCTGGTTGCGGCGTTCGCAGCTCGTCAGCAGCAAAGATTCTGCTGCTGCAGCAACAGAAGCAGCAACAACTCTTCTTGCTGCTGCTGCTGCTGCAGCAGCAGCAGCAGCAGATTGCTGCGCCCTCCCCTCTGTCGATAAATCCCCCCAATTGTTATACTGTGTGCAGCGGCTATTGCTGGCATCCACGCAGCATTTGCTGCTGCTGCTGCTGCTGCTGGTGCAACTACTGTCATACCCAGCTACTGCTGCTGCTGCTGCTGCTGATTCGCAGCAGCAGCAATCGTGAGTAGATGCAGCAGGAGTTTCCAGCGCATGCAGCAGCTGCAGCACAACACGACGAACAGATTGTCCAGCAAGAGCTTCCTCATCATCTGCTTCCTGCTGCTCCTGCTGCCGCTGCTGTTCCTGCTGCTGCTGCAGCTGCTGCTGCCGTCGCCACCGTCGACGAGCTGCCTCCCCTGCTGCTGCTGCTGCTGTGTCGCTGCAGCTAGTTGATGAATACCCAAGAAACTGCAGCTGCTGATTTGTGTATCCTTGCTGCTGCAGCAGCTTCTGCAGCAGCAGCCGCTGCTCCGTGCTGCTCCAATCTATGAATCTGTCTGCATTCTGCTGCAGCTGCTGCTCTTCTGCTGCTGACAGCTGACAGTAAGGCAGCAGCAGCGACAGCAGCAACGCCAAGGATGGTGACGGGGTTGCTGGCGTGTCTTCCTCCCCAGCAGCAGCAGCAGCAGCAGCAGGTCTTGCTGCATGCTGCACTTGCTGATTCCCTCGTGCTGCTGTCACAGAGGTAGCCCCCAGCAGCTCATCTGCTTCTGCAGCAGCAGCAGCAGCAGCAGGACCAGCTGCTGCAGATGCTGCTGCTGCTGCTGCTGCAGGATGTGCTGCATCATCGACAGTGTCAACAGTGGATGGTGATGCAGCACCGTTTGCTGCTGCTGCTGCACCTGCTGCTGTTGCTGTTGTTGCTATTGCTGCTGCTGTTGCTGCATCTGCTGCAGTTGCTGCTGCTGCTGCATCTGGCTGCAGCAGCAGCAACCGTAATTGAGGTATACGCGCGAATTCAATAAGAAGACAAATGCATTGTATAACAAGGCAGCGTCCTGATATACTAAGAGCATTAGTTGCTGCTGCTGCTGCTGCTGCTGTTGCTGCTGCTGCTGCAGCAGCAGCAGAACCCTTACTACAGCATTGCTCCCGCTGCTCCTCCTCTACCTCCTGCAGCAGCAAGGCCTCATATGTACAGAAGTACCGCTGCAGCAGCACAACGCATGCATCCAGCAGCAACGGTGCTGCAGCAGCAAACTCCCGCAGCAGGCCGCACTCCCACCGGCTGCAGCACCCACGCCGTTGTGCTGTTGTCGTTGTTGTTGCTGCTGCAGCTGCAGCAGCAGCAGCAGCAGCAGCTGCTGCTGCTGTTGCTGCAGAGGCAGGAGCGCCCTTAAGGAAAGCCTCGGACAGCAGCACGCCGTTGCCTTCTGATGAATTCGTCGCGGGAGTTGCTGCTGTTGATCCTGTTGTTGTTGCTGCTGCTGCTGCTGCTGCTGTTGTTGCTGCAGTTGCTGCTGCTGCTGCTGCTGCTGCTGGCACCGCACCCGATAAAGGGGAGTCTGGTGAAGCAGCAGAAGTGCTGCTTGTTGCTTCTGATGGGGTGTATAGACACCCCACATCATCAACGGCAGCAGCAGCAGCAGCAGATTCAGCAGCAGCTGCTGCTGCAGCAGGGGGCATATCTGCTTCGAGTTTCAGCAACTGCACCTTGCTGCTGCTGTTGTATCTGCTGCTGCTGCTGCTGCTGCTGCTGCGAGGACGGGAGATGCGGGCAATAAGAACGCAGCAACGCAGTGTCTGTACAGCTACTGTTAGGTGGCTACCATCAATAAGATGGAGGCTGCTGCAGCGCAGCAGCAGCAGCAGCTGCTGCACCAGTGGCTGCAGATGCTGCAGCAGCGCGGAGACCCAGCAGCAACCCCAACAGCAGCAGCACTGCTGCTTGTGTGCTGCAGCAGCTTCAAGAAGCTCCACATACACCCCAAGGCTTGCTGCTGATGTTGCAGTATCCAATCGAGGCCTCTGCAGCAGCAGCAGCAGCAACAGCAGCAACAGCAGCAGCATAACACACTAGTTCGTTGTTGCTGCGATCCCCTTATACACACAGGAGGAGCAGCACGCAGCAACAGCAGCAGCAGCAACAACACTAACAGCAGCAGCAACAGCAACATCAACAGCAGCAGCAACAGCAGTAGCAACAGCAACAGCAACAGCAACAGCAGCAGCAACAGCAGCAACGTACCTGGATATGCAGTCTCTTCCTTGTTTTCTCAATAGCAGCAAGATGCGCAGGAGTAATTGCTGCTGGTCTGCCCTCAGCAGCAGCAGCACCAGCAGCAGCAGCACCAGCAGCAGTAGCAGCAACAAGCATTCCTGGTGCAAGTACGAGGTTATATTGCTGCCCTCCTGCTGCAGTCTGCTGCAGTAACTGCTGCAGCTGCTGCAGCTGCTGCTGCTGCAGCAGCAAGAAGTTAGGACAATCACGCAGCAGCACCTGCAGCAAACGCAGCGAGGAGAGTAAGACGAATCGTGCTGTACCATAGTCAGCAGCTTCATCTGCTGCTGCTGCTGCTGCTGCTGCTGTTGCTGCTGCTGCTGCTGCTCCTTCTGCTGCTGCTGCTGCTGATGCACGACGCATCAACTCCTGTATACACAAACAGCAGACGCAGCAGCAAACAACTCTTATACAATCCTACTATTCTTTGCTGCTGCTGCTGTTGCTGCTTGAGTTGCTGCTGCTGCTCCTCCTTGCGTTGCTGCTGCTGCTCCTGCTGCTGCTGCTGCTGCTGCTTACCATCACGCGAGTCAACACCCGTTCTGTTAAGGATTTTGCTGCAGTGCAGCAGCGCTGCCTTGAGTAGCAGCAAACAACAACAGAACCTCCAGCAGCAGCAGCAGCAGCAGCAGCACCTGGTGCTGTTCCTGCTGCTGCTGTTGCTGCTGCTGCTGCTGCAGAGTCTGGTGGGGAGGGTTGCTGCCCCGCGGGAAGAAATCCCGTTGCTGCTTTAGAGCTGCCCGTTGTTGCTGCTACTGCTCCTTGTGTTGCTGCTGCTGCTGCTGCTCCTGCTGCTGCTGCTGCTGCTGCTGCCTCGTCTGTTGCAGCACCCTGATGCAGGGCACTGTCTGCTGCAGTTGCTTTTAATGCTGCTGGCAATACAGCTGGTGCAGCAGCAGCAGCAGCAGCAGTACTCGTCATAGACTGCCGCCTGCATCCACCACTAGTGCTGCTGCTGCTCGTGCTGCAGCGTGGCGTGCTACGGCTGTCAGCTGCTGCTGCTGCTGTTGCTGCTGCTGCTGGCAGCAGCTGCCTGCGGGAGCACATATCCCTACTGCAGCAACAAGAATCTGTTGACAGCTGCAGCTGCTGCTGCTCACTGTACCGGCCGCTGCTGCTGCTGCTGCTGCTGCAGCTGCTGCAGGACCCCTCCTGCTGCTGATATGCTAGTAGATCTGTAAGAACTTTGTGCAGCAGCTGCTGCAGCTGCTGCTGCGGATGTGCTGGTGCTGCCTGCAGCAGCAGCAGCAGCGCTGCCTGCTGCTCGCAGCAATCAAAGGATACCCAGCAGGGCCCCACGAGCTGCCGCAGCAAGGAGGCGCATAGTACCTGCAGCAGGAACTCATCCCTGCTGCTGCTGCTGCTGCTGCTGCTGCTGTTACCGTTGGTCGTGCTGCTGGTGCCGTTTGTGTTGCTGCTTGTACTGCTGCTGCCTGCAGCAGCAGCAGCATGCAACATCTTCTGCCCCTGCTGAGAGAAGATGCAGCAGCAACCAGGAGCAGTACATAAACATATTAAGTGGTCATGCTGCTGCTGCTGCTGCTGTTGCTGCTGTTGCTGCTGCTGCTGCTTATGTTGCTGCAGCACAGCCATAACTCCTGCGCAAACGCAGCTGCCGCTATTTTCTCTTTGCTGTTTCTGTTGTTGCTGTTGCTGAGCAGCAGCAGCAGCACTACCTTGTGCAGCAGCTGCAGCTGCAGCAGCAGCTGCAGCAGCAGCAGCTGCAGCAGCAGCAGCATGATAACATGAATGAGAGAATAAGAGAGGATGGTAACCACATACAGCATATGCTGTTAATGCTAGCAGCACGCCAGGGGATTCAGCAGAGGAGAGGAATACTGCTGCTGCTTGCTGCTGCTGCTGCGCGTCTCCCCCTAACAGCTGCAGCAGCAGCACGTGACACTCACGTAACTGCTGCTCATACATTTCTATGCTGCTTAGACCTGCAGCAGCAGCAGCAGCAGCAGCAGCTGCTGCTGCTGCTGCATCTTTCGGGACACCGCATTCGTCAGCGTGGTCGCTCGCTGCTGCTGCTGCTGCTGCGTCATGGGAGGCTACTGCTGCTGCTGCTGCTGCTGCTGCTGCACCAGCAGGTGCTGCTGCTGGAGCAGCACCGTATACTCCTGAAAGACGAGAAAACTGTAGGCAGCAGCTGTTGCTGCTGCTGCTGCTGCTGCTGTCTGTAGAGTTCCATAGGAAGGGAGAATTCGCCTTTAGTGTTCGCTTCTTTGATGCAGCAGCAGCAGCTGCTGCTGCTGCTGCTCGAACAGCAGCAGCAAAATTGAATGAAGGCTGCTCATCTGGTCTTGCTGCTGTTGCTGCTGCTGCTGCTGCAGAAGATTCAGCAAAGGCTGCGTAGTCTGCTGCAGCAGCACCCTCAAATTGCAGCAGCGGCTGTTCTTGCTGCTGCTGCTGCAGCAGTTCACGCATTGCAGCAGCTGCTGCTGCTTCCGTCTCTGCTGCTGTTGGAGTTGGGGGGCCCCAGCAGCAGCAGATGACAGCAGAGCTGCATTACTAAGTTATAGTTATAGGGGCCCCCATTGAAGAGCCGGAGACAGCAGCAGCAGCACCAGTACAAGTGCAGCAGCAGCAACAACTGCGGCAGCAGCAACTCATGTGCTGCTGCTGATGCAGTTGCTGCCGCTACTGGTGACCAAGAACCACAGGACTGCTGGGGGGCCCCCTATACCTGGGCCGAAGATCGTACGCCAGCAGCAGCAGCAACTGCAGCAGCAGCAGCAACTGCAGCAGCAGCAGCAGCAGGAAGGCGAATTGCAGAAGCAAACACAACAAATGCTTCCTTAACTTTAATATGCAAGAGAGTATATTGATACGAGTTAATATAGAAGACATCCAGCAGCAGCAGCAGCTGCTGCTGGCTGCAGCAGCACCAGCGGCAGCAGTAGCAGCAGCAGCTGCTGCTGCCGCCGCTGCTGCCGCTAGGCATGCACGGGGTGGGTGGGACTGTGGTGTTGCTTGTCGGCTGCAGCAGCAGCAAAGACAAGAAATGAATTATAAATAGTTATTATTATTTGTTTCTTGTATGCAGCAGGGCCTTGCGCCGCAGCAGCTGCAGCAGCAGCAACTCTAGCAGCAGCAGTAGCAACAGCAACTGCTGCATGGCGAGCCGGGTTGCTGCTGCCCCCCAGCAGGGCCCTTACCTGCACAGCAGCAATTTTGCTGCTGTTTCTTGCTGCTGCAGGCTTGCTGCACCTGCCTGCCTTGTAGCAGCAACAGATGCTGCTGCAGCGGCAGCACCAACACCATACCAGCCACAGCAGCAAGACACGCAGCACCAGCAGCAGCAGCAGCAGCAGCAGCAAACCCTTAGAACGATGAGCCCCTACACCTGTCATGCCACACCGGACTCCCACAGCAGCGGGGGAGCTGCTGCCTGAGGGGAATCAGCTTGCTGCTGCTGCTGCTGCTGTTGCTGCTCCGGCATGCTGCAGCAGCCGCAGCTGCAGCAGGAACTGCAGAGATACCTCCTCAGGCAGCAGTAGCAGCAGCAGCAGCAGCACTTGCTGTATCCATTCACATCCCATGCTGCAGCAACAGCAGCAGCAGCGGAGGACAGCAGCACCAGCTGCTGGTGGCGGCTGTTGCCACGCTGCCCGCCATAGGCATCATAAACAGCACCAGCAGCAGCAGCAGCAACAGCAGCAGCAACAATGTCGTGCGGCTGCCGACGGCCCTGGTGCCACTCTTGCTGCAGTGGACACAGCAGCAGCAGCAGCAACAGACACGCAGATAATTGCTGCTGCTGTGGCACGCGTGCTGCACTTACAGCGCCAGCAGCAGCAACAGCAACAGCAACAGCAGCAGCAGCAGCAGCAAGCGCAAGCAGCTCCCCCCCTGTCTCTGCTTGCCTTACAGATGGATGCTTTGCTGCTGCAGCACGGCATCCCTCCTTTATCAGCTAGAGGGACTTTGCTGCAGCACTTGCTGCTTCAGCATTGGCCTGTGTTGCAGCAGCAACTGCAGCAGCAGCAGCAGCACACTATGCTGCAGCAGCCACAGCAACAACAGCAGCAGAGAGACGGCACAGGGGCCCCACGCCTTAACTTAGAAATCGTTGCATACCATCCACAGCAGCAGCAGCAACAGCAGCAGCAGCAACAGCAACAGCAGCAGCAGCAGCAGCAGCTGCAGCTGCAGCATATTAAGCAGGGTCTGCTTCGTCTTGGCAAGTTCTATGAAGGTTTGCTGCTGCGAGAGGCGCGGCATGTGCTGCAGCAGTGGCGCACGGAGGCAGCAGCAGCAGCAGCAGCAGCTGCTGCTGCTGCTGCAGTTGGGGAAAAACTGCAGCAATCTGTTAACTGTTCGAGGCAGCGCAGGTTGCTGCGGTGTTGGAAGGCAGCAGCAGCAGCAGCAGCAGCTCGTCGGCAGCAGCAGCAGCAGCAGCAGCAAGCCCTTTCTTGTCTTTGCCGCTTTGTATCACGACGTGCCTTAAGAGGGGCACTGCAGCACCTGCAGCAGCAGCTGCTGCTGCTGCAGCACAGCCGCAGCAGCAACAGCAGCAGACACCTTAAGGAGAAGGCCTTACGTGCTTGGTTTTGCTGCCTGCAGCAGCAGCGACGTGTTAGGCAGCTTGCTGTTGTTGCTGCTGCAGTGCGAGAGCAGCAGCAGCAGCAACAGCTGCAGCAGGCGTGGTATGCATGGAAGCAGCAGCAGCAACAGCACAGCAGCAGCAACGCTGTGCGTCTTCGTTTGTTCACTGCTGTGCAGCAGCAGCGGCAACAGCACCAGGTGCTGCTGCTGCTGCAGAAGCACTGCTGGCGGCAGCAGCGGCTGCGTGCTGCAGCAGCAGCTATACAACGCCGTGTGTCCGTGCTGCTGCTGCATGCAGTTATACAGCAGTGGGGTGCAGCAGCAGCAGCAAGTCGTGAAGAAGCTGCTGCTGCTGCACCGCAGCAGAGTGCAGCAGCAATCATAGCAGTCCTCCGCTTTGTGGTGCTGCATGCACAGCAGCAGCAGCAGCAACACCAGCAACAACAGCCACAAAGGAAGCAGCAGCAGCGTACCCTGGCGCAGGTTGTTCACCAAGCCATCAGCAGACAGCAGCAGCAGCAGCAGCAGCTACCGCTGCTGCTACAGCAGCAGCAGCAGCTGCCGCCATTTGCTGCCTTGCTGCTGTCTTATATACCTATAGAGATGCCTATACACCCCAAGAGATTGCTGCAGCACTTACCAGCTATTACTAACGCACTTAAGGGAGTATGTTGCTGCTGTTGCTGCTGCTGCTGCTGCTGTCGCTGTAGTTGCTGCTGCTGTCGCTGTTGTTGCTGCTGCTGTCGCTGTTGTTGCTGCTGCTGTTGCTGGTGTTGCTCTTCTTTTGGTGGTGTTGCTGCTGCTGGTGCGTCATAGAGGTTATAGGAGATGGTTGCTGTTATTGCTGCTGCTGTTTCTTTTTGCTGCTGCTGCTGCTGCTGCTGTTGCTGCAGGAGTTGCTGCGGTCTTGCTTCCGTTGCTGGCGTCAGTGGGCTGCTGCTGCTGCTGCTCTTCGGCTGCAGCAGCGGCAGCAGTTGCTGCGTCGCGCCTTTGATGCCTTAATAGTTGTTACAGTACGGCAGCAGCGGCTGCAGCAGCAGCAGGAAGCAGCAACAGCAATGAGCAGCAAGCTGCTGCTGCAGTCTGCATGGCAGCAATGGCAGCAACGCTGCAGGCGTTACTCTTCCTTCCGTCAGAGATGTCATGCTCTGCTGCGCCAGGTTTGCTGCTGTTGCTGCTACTGCTGCTGCTGTTGCTGCTGCTGCTGTTACTCTTGTTGCTGCTGCTGTACCTACTGTTGTTGTTGCTTATGGTGCTTGTGTTGGTAGTGTTGATGGTGCTGCTGCTGCAGCAACAGCTTGTGCTGCTGCTTTTGTTGCTGCTGCTTGTGCTGCTGCTGAGGGTCAGCTGCTGCAGCAGTGTGGGGTGTTGTATGTGCTGCTGCAGCGTACGGTGTCTCTGCAGCAGAGAGCCTTTTGTGGTTGGCGGGTCTTTGCTGCAGCAGCAGCGCAGCAGCGGCAGCACGAGGAAGCTGCTGTTGCTGCGCTGCAGCGGAAGCAGCTGCAGCGTTTCTTCTATTTGCTGCAGAGAACCTATAGGGTAGGCCTGCTGCATGCTGCATGCTGCCTGCTGCCTGCTGCTGTGCTGAATCGTTGCTGCAGTCTCCTTAGCTAGCTAGCTAGCTAGCCGCCTAGCTAGCTAGCTAGCTGCCTAGTTAGCTACAGCAACCCCCTTAGCAACCCGGGTAGCTAGTTGGCTAGCTAGCTAGCTAGCTAGCTAGCTGGCTAGCTAGCTAGTAGAGCTAGCTGGCTAGTAGAGCTAGCTGGCTAGTAGAGCTAGCTAGCTAGTAGAGCTAGCTGGCTAGTAGAGCTAGCTAGCTAGTAGAGCTAGCTAGCTAGTAGAGCTAGCTAGCTTTGTAGGCAGCAGACGGGTTCCTGCAGGGAGCTCGCATACTGCGTTTGCTGCACTTCCTGGTGGCTTGTGCTGCTGCTGCTGGTGCTGCTGTGCTGCAGGAGCGCCGCCGTGCTGCTGCATGCAAGGAAGCGTCAATGCTGCTGCAGCAGAAGCATTTGCTCCGCCGAGCATTCTTCTCTCTCCGAGCCAATGTTGCGTGCGTCTGCTGCTGCTGTTGCTGCTGCTGAAGTTGTTGCTGCTGCTGCAGTTGGGGGGGATTCCTTGCCATGGGTTGCTGCCTATACTGGGGCTGTTGCTGCTGCTATGGCATCTGCTGCTGCTGCTGCTGCTGGTTGGTTGTCTGCAGGGAGGAGAAGAAGATAAGGAAGGCGCGTGCTGTCTGTCAGCAGCTGCAGCAGCGGCAGCTGTTGTGGCTGTGGTGGACAGTTGCTGCTTCTGCTGCTGCGCTGCAGCACATGGCTTTGCTGCTGCAGCAGCGGCGAGCACAGCAGCAGCTCCGATGTATTTTTACTGCATGGAGGGAAGCAGAGGGCCGCAGCAGGCTGCTGCGCCAGAAGCAGCTGATGGTGGAGCAGCAGCAGCAACGGCTGCTGCTGCAGCAGACTATCACTGTATGGAGGCAACAGCTGCAGCGACGCAGAGCAACAGCAGCAGCTGCTGCTGGCCTTGCTGCTGTATGCAGTCGCATGCTGCTGCGCTATGGGTGGCAGACATGGCGGAAGGCAGAGAAGCTGCAGCAGCAAGAAAATCTGCTGCAGCAGCAGCAGCAGCAACACTGCAAGCAGCAAGTGCTGCAGGCGTGGCTGTCTCTTCTTGTGTCAGTGCGGCTGGTGAGTTGCTGATAATGCGATGCTTCTTGCTGCTGCTGCTGCTCTGCTGTTGCTGCTGCGTTCCTGCTATTATTGGTGTTGCTGCTCTGCTGCTGCTGCTGCTGCTGCAGCGGGTGTTGCATGCACGTGGAGCTGTGCTGCAAGGAGTGCTGCTGCGCCTGCTGGCTTCCTGGAGGCGGCGAGCAGCAGCAAGACGGCGCGGCTTGTTGGTGCAGCAGCAGCAGAAGACACGATTGGTTGCTGCTGCTTATACGGGTTGGAAGCAGCAGCACCAGGAGGAGCAACAAAGGAAGCTTCGGCTGCAGCAGGGCTTCGAGTTGCTGCAGCAGCAGCAGCGAAGGAGACTCCGTGCTGCGCTGCAATGCATGCGCGAAGCAGTAGCCCGCAGCCCGTTAGAGCAGCAGGCTGCTGCTGCAGTGCAGCGACGGCAGCAGAAGCTGCTGCTGCAGCAGACATGGAGGCTATGGCAGCAAGCAGCACACAAGCAGCACCTGCTGCTGCGGCTGGGTGTCGTTGCTGCTAACTATAAGGCACGGCTAGCACTGCAGCAGCTGCGCATGCATGCTGCAGCAGAAGCAGCACTGCAGCAAACCCTCCTACCCTTCTATGAGAGCAGCAGCAAGCTGCTGCTGCGCCGCTGCTTCCGACAGTGGGCTGCTGCTGCAGCACGGAAGCAGCATCTGCAGCAGGCAGCAGCCAAAGTTGAGCTGCTGCAGCAGCGAAGGGCTAAGGAAGCCTTCGTGGCTTGGTGGGTCTAGCAACCGCAGCAGCAGCAGCAGGGGTAGCAGTATCCAGCGGGTTGCTGCAGCAGCAGGTACTCTGTACATATCCGCCCTGACATCCTTCTGCTGCTGTTGCTGCTGCTGCTGCTGACGTATGCTGCAGGAGAGTTGCAGCTCGTGTTGTTGTTGCTTGTCGTCGCCTTGATGCAGTGCAGCAGCAGCTGCAGCAGCGAGTTGCTTTTGCTGCTCTTCGTCTGCATGCAAAGCATGCATCCGTGGTGCTGCTGCTCGTGCTGCTGCTGTCCCGAGGGTCGAGGATGGCGCTGCTGCGTTTTGGCTGGCAGCAGCTGCTGCTGCACAGGGAGAGAGGACAGCAGCAAGAGGTCAGTTCGTCACTGCAGCAGCAGTAGTAGTAGCAGCAGCAGCAGCAGCAGCAGTAGTGGCATACACTACTACAGCGGGAGCAGTAGCAGCAGTAGCAGCATCAGTAGTAGCAGCAGCTGTAGCAGCAGCTGCAGCAGCAAAGCGTGGCGGTTGTTGTGTTGCTTCTGTCTGTTTGCAGCTGCAGGCTGCTGCTGCGCTGCAGCAGCACGAGAGGAAGCTGCAGCAGCGGGTATTTGCTGCATGGCGTGAGCAGCAGCAGCAACGGCAGCAACAGAGGGACAGGAAGCAAAAGCTGAAGGAGCAGCAGCAGCAGCTGCAGCAAATGCACCGCATGCGGCTGCAGCATAGAGTGCTTGTTGCTTGGCTGCAGCGGCTGCTGCGACCAGTGCAGCAGCAGCAAACAGCAGCAGCACTTAAGGAAAGGTGCAACAGGAAACTGCTGCTGCTGATGCTGCAGCAGTGGCGTGCTGCTGCTGCTGCAGCGCAGCGCCGTCGTCTTGCTGCCGGTGAGGAATTATTGCAGCAGCTTCCTGCAACACCACCTGCTGCTGCTGCCATTCGTGCTGCTGCTGCTGTTGTTGTTCTTGCTGCTCCTCCTCCCTTATCTTTAATGCGTGTGTTCGCTGCTGTTGCTGCTACTGCTGCTGCTGCTGCTGCTGCTGCAGAGAGAGTGCGTCAGCAATCTGCGCTGCGGAGTCTTCGGGCGAATTTTGCTTGTCTAAGGAATACTGCAAGGAGGCAGCAGCAGCAACGGTTGCGGCTGCTGCATGCGTTGCTGCTGCTGCCGGTGCAGCTGCCCCTGGTGCCAGCACCCGCGGCAGCAGCAGCAGAAGCAACAACAGCAGCAGGTGCAGCAGCTACAGAGAGTCTTCCTCTTGTCCCCCGTGCCCTGCTGCAGTCACTTGCTGGCGAGTTGGTGACACCGCAGCAACAGCAGCAACAACAGCAGCAGCAACAGCAGCAGCAGAAGAAGGTGCAGCAGCGAACTCCATCTACCGCAGCGCCCGAGTCTGCAATGGGCCTTCAAGAGCAGCAGCAGCAACAGCAGCAGCAGCAACAGCAACCGAAGCAGCAGCAGGACGGCCTGTCCCCACCGCCACTGCAACTTCCAGCAGCCCGTAGCGCAGACAGTAAGAAGAATATCCAAGCAGCAGCAGCAGCAGCAACAGCAGCAGCAGCAACTCCTGGTTCCTTATGGGCATCACAAGATTCAACAGCAGCAGACTCTGATGATTTGCTGTCGTCACGCCGCAGCAGCTGCGCGCTGCTGCTGCTGCTGCGGGAGCTTTCTAATGGAACAACAGCAGCAGCAACAGCAGCAGCAGCACCAGCAGCAGCAAATGCTGACGCTGTTGATACATCCACGGATGCCCTGGAAGGAGATGGCTCCTGCCTGCCGCAGCAGCAGCAGCAGCAGTTGCTGCTACTGAGTAAGTCCGTCCTCCAGCAGCAGCAGCAGCAGCAGCAAGGAAGCGCTGCAGAAGCCATCGCCGCGAACGTGACTGCGCAGCAACACCTCCTCGACATTGACAGCAGCAGCAGCAGCAGCAGCAGCACTCAATGGAAGCTGCTGCTGCCACGAGAGATGCTAGCAGCAACTTGGCACTCTGTGCGTCTTGTTAGGCGTTGCTTCTTGCTATGGCAGCAATATAAGACAGCAGATTTGCTGCGGCGGCAGCAGCAGCAGCAGCAGGTGCTGCAGCTAAGGAGCCAGCTGCATCTGCTGCAGCTGCAGCAAACTTGGATAGCCTGGCGCTGTGCCTTGCAGCAGCGGATTAATGATGATGCTGCTGCAGCGCAACAATTGTCGCTGCTGCTGCTGCGGCGGCTGCTGCTTAGCTGGCGGCGTTTAGCGGAGCCCCGCATGCAGCGGTCTGCTTCTGTTGCTGCTGCAATACAGCAGCAGCAGAAAAAAAATACCTTTGTTGCTGTGATAGCAGCATGGAGACAACGGACCTGGTGAGTGCATGCAGCCCTTAGCGTCCTCTCTTTTGCTTTGCTGCTGCTGCTGCAGGCACCAACTCAAACTTCTTGCTGCTGTTGCTGCTGCTGCTGCTGCAGGAAGCAGCGCCAGTTGCGGCGTGCTGCTGCTGCTGCTTCTGCCTTGTGGTCTACTCGGGTTTCCTCTGAGGTGTTCGCGCTATGGGCAACTGCAGCACGGCTGCATGCGCTTGAGACACAGGTATTGCTGCTGCTGCTGTTGCTGCCTCTCTGTGCCTCCGCCTTCTTGCTAGCTGTCTGTGTGGTCCTCCTGGCTGGTGGGGATGCAGCCCAGCAGCAGCAGGAACTGCTGCTGGCGATGCTGCTGCTGCTGCTGCTGTACATGTGTCAGCGTACGTGTGCTGTGGAGTTTCTCTTGTTGTGCTGCAGCTTCGACAGCAGCAGCAGCACCGGCTGCTGCAGCAGGTGCTGTCCTCCTGGCGACTTTGCTTCCTGGGTCGGCGTCTTGCTGCTGTGGTGGTGATGGCGCAGCAGCAGCCGCTGCTGCGACGGGGTTGGCAACACCTGCGTCTGCATGCATTTTGCAGCAGACTGCAGCAGCAGACGCTGCAGCGCGCATTTGCTGCGCTGCTGCAGGCAGTCAACATGCGGCGAAGACTTGAGTGGTGTCAGGCATGCGCCACCTTGCAGCAAGCCGTAAGTGCAGCACCAGCAGCAGCAGCAGGAGCAGCAGCAGCAGCAGGAGGAGCAGCAGCAGCAACGAACTGGCGTCATCCCTAGCATTACGCTGAGTGGATGCTGCAACATCAGCAGCAGCAGCAGCAGCAGCAGCAGCATTTCAACGCGCAGCAGCAGCAGCGTTGCACAACTATCGGAAAGGACAGCAGCAGCAACAGGAAGAGCAGCAACAGCAGGAGAATTGCATGCATGCGTGTTTGCTGCTGCTGCTGCAGGTGAGGAGACAGCACGAAGTATTTGAGCAATGGCGTTGGCTGCTGCTGCAGCGGCAGCGTGCTGCTGCTTTGCGGTCTGTTGGTGCTGCTGCTGCTGTGCTGCTGCGGCTAAGTCGTTGTTTTGTTGCATGGAGGGACCTTGCTGCAGCAAAACAGCAGCAACGGCAGCAGCAGCTGCAGCTGCTGCAGCAGAAGCAGCAGCTACAAGGGCCCCATGGCAGGGCCTTAGCAGCCAGGTGTCTCCGCATGTGGCGATTAGCGTATAGACTGCAGCAGCTGCTGCAGCGTCGTGCTGCTGCTGTTGCATCCAAGACCTTCTGGGCCCTTAGAGAGGTGAGCTTTTGCTGCTGCTGTTGCTGCTGCTGCTGCTGCTGCAGTTGGTATCTTCTGTCGCTGCAGATCCCTTACATGCATGATTGTTGTCTACAGATTCTATTTGCAGCAGCAGCTGCTGCTGCTGTTGCTTCCAGTAGAACTCATTTAAGCTTCATTGCTGCTGCTGCTGTCTGCTGCTGCTGTTTGCTGCTGCTGCTGCAGGCTGCTATGCGAAGAGCGCAAGAAGTGCAGCAATTTAGTGCATGCAAACGTCTTCGTTTGCTGCGTTTATTCCTCTCATGGAGGAAAGCAGCAAAACTTCATGCTGCTGCTGCTGCAGTTGATGGCATTTGTTCCCGCAGGTCTGCTGCTGTTGCTGCTGCTGTTGCAAGTTTTGGATTTGCTGCTGGCACCTGCTGCTGTGCATGCGTATTCTTGTAGCAGCTGCTGCAGCTAGCCACATGCACATTCCTCCATCCTGTTGCTGATTTTGCTGCTGCTGCTGCTGCAGGTTGCTGCAGCATACGTTTGTTCAATGGAATTGGCTACGCAAGAGACAATCCCTGTTAGAGCTGCTGGCGCAGCGCGCGCTGCTGCAGCGGCAGCAGCAAACTGCTGTTGTTGTATTTCAAGTAGGCAGAAGCAGCAGCGGCAGCAGCAGCAGAAGCAGCAGTAACAGGAGTAGCAACAGCAATAGCAGCAACGGCAGCAGCAGCAGCCAGAGATGTTGTGGATACGTGTTGTGCTTCTTCAGGCCCTTAGAGTGCATGCAGAAAGGCAGCAGCACATGCGTCAGGTGCAGCAGCAGCAGCAGCAGCAGCTGAAGCAAAGGGTGTTGCATGGCTGGCAGCAGCTGCTGCAGTGCTGCTGCTATTATCGGCAGCAGCTGCTGCGGCGGGCCTTTGCTGCGCTGCGCTTCTCGGCTTGTGTGGCGCGCAGCATTTTGCTGCTGATTGCATGCGTGCAGCGACTGCAGCAGCAGCAGCAGCGGGAGGCGCTGCAGCTGCTGTATCAGCGGATGCTGCGCACAAAGAAGCTGCAGCAGCTGCTGCGAGCAGCAGCAGGACAGCGACTGCAGCAAGGACTGCAGGAACTTAAGCAGTAAGACAAATAAAGACACAAAAGAATAAATATAAATAATAATTAATTATATACACAAGGCACAATAATTAATTAATTAACTAACTAATTAATTAATTGCTGCTGTTGCTGTTTCTGCTGCTGTGTTCAGTGCTGTGCAGGTTCGTTGCGGCCTGGTGCTGCATCGCATGCAGCAGCACGCGATGAAGCAGGAGCAGCTGCAGCAGTTTGCTGCAGCAAGGGAGCAGCGGCAGCAGCAGGAAACAATGTATAAAGCATTTGCTGCCTGGAGGCGATTTGCTGCAGCAAGGCAGCATGCAGCAAGAGCAGCAGCAGCACTGCAGCAGCTACGTGAGGAAGCAGGGCCTCAGCTGCTGGTGATGGGGTGTCTGCATCGATGGTTGCATGCGCTGCACAAGGTGCAGCAGCAAAGGAAGGCTGCTGCTGCACTGCAGCAGCTGCAGCTACGTCACTGGTTTGCTGCATGGCATGCTGCGCTGCTGGATGTAAGAGACGCGCAGCAGCTGCAGCAGCAAGCGCTGCAGCTGCAGCGCCAATGGAAGATACGCCGTCTGCTGCTGCTGCTGCAGGAGCAGCAACAGGAAGCAGAATGGAAGGCATGGTGTATCCTTAGAGCAGATGCATTCCTGCAGCTGCTGCAGCAACGCCAGGTACCTTGCTGCTGCTGCTGCTATTGCTGCTGCTGCTGTTGTTGGTATACCTGGTTTGCTGCAGCAGCTGCAGTAACGCCAGCTGCCCTGCTGCTGCTAGTACTTCTCTTGATGCTTCTCCTTTTGCTGCTGCTGCTCTCTGGTATGCTGCTACTGTTGCTTAATGTGTTGCTGCTACTGCCGCTGCTGCTTTGTGTGTATTGCTGCAGCAAGCAGAAGTGCTGCTGCAGTGGCGCAGCTATTTGAGGCGGCAGAAGAATCTGCGTGCATGCGCGCAGCAGGTGCAGCAGCAGCAGCAGCAACGGTTGCTGCGTTGGTCTCTGGAGCACATGATTACTGCTGCAGCAAAGGGCCAACGACTCAGCCTTGCTGCTGCAGCAGTGCAGCAGCAGCACAGGCTGCTGCTGCTGCGCACCCTGTGGGGCCATTGGCGGTCTCTGTGTCGCTATGCACAAGCAGCGACAGCATTGCTGCAGCATTTCCTGCTGCTGCAGCACGTTAGGAAGCAAAGTAAGACTCCTTTGTTGCTGCAGTTGCTGCTGCAGTTGCTGCTGTAGTTACTGCTGTAGTTGCTGCTGCAATTTCGTGCTGCAGCTCTGCTGGGGTGTATGTGCAGGTCGGGTATTGTCCTTCTGGTTAGCATATGCAGCAAAGCGCAGCAGATTGAGGAGAGCAGCAACAGCACTGCAGCTGCAGCAGCAGCAGCAGCAAGACAGTGCTGCTGTGTCGCTGGAGCAGGCTTTTGGGGAGTGGCGACAACTCGTGCTGCAGCGACAGCAGCAGCGCCAAGAGGCGCAGCAGCGGCTGCAGCAGCTGCTGCTGCTAAGACATCAGCAGCAAATGAGGAGACTTCTCTTATATTGGGGAGCAGCAGCTAAACACAGAGCAGCTGCTAGGAAGTACGCCTCTTGCTTATCTGCTGCTGCTGCTGTTGTTGCTGCTGCCTTGCTTGCTGCTGTTACTGCTGCAGCCACGCTGGTTGCGGCTGGTACTACTGCCCTTGTTGCTGCTGCTGCTGCTGCAGTTGCACGTTTGTTGTGTCTGTTTTGTTTACAGGGCGGTGCTGCAACGCATTGCCGTCTTCCACCAGCACCAGCAGCAGCAACAGCAGCAGCAACAGCAGCAAAATGTGCTGCTGCTGCCTCCGCCAACCCTGAGTGGGAGACGACGTGCTGCTTCTTTGAGTAGCAGCAGCCGCCTAACCAGCAGCAGCAACAGCGATAGCAGCAGCAGCCGCAGAAGCAGAAGCAGCAGCAGCAGCAGCAGCAGCAACGACAGGATTGAAGCTCGCTCGCGCCCTCCCCAGAGACTGCGGTGGCAGGACACAAGCTACACAGCAGCAGCAACAGCAGCAGCAGCAGCAGCAGCAACAGACACAGCAGAAGCAGAAGAAGAAGCAGAAGTATCTGATGAGACATCAAGCTCGTCATCTCCCACAGCGTCAAACCACCACCACCATCAGCAGCAGCAGCAGCAACAGCAGCAGCAGCAGCAGCAGCAGCAGGATGAGGCACTAAGTCTATCTTTTTCTCGTGAGGCATTCCTCTCTCATTCACAAACATCAGAAGATGATTTGCTGCTGCAGCAACGATGGCGGCAGCAAATGCATCAGGAGCAGCGGAGGCAGCCACGTCTTATGACGCCACCAGAGCAACTGCAGCAGCAGCAGCAGCAGCAAACCCAGCAGCAGGAGCAGCAGCAGCAGCAGCAGCAAAGGCGACAGCAGGGGTTGGCGTTCGGTTATCCTCTCCCTAGTTCGTCATTACATCTTGAAGATCTTGAAGATGATACACCGCATGGAACAGCAGCAGCAGCAGCAACAGCAGCAGCAAGGGCAGCAGCAGCAGCAGCAACTGTTGCTGCTGCTGCAACCTCAAGACATATTGTTTCTTCACGCCATTCTGCTGGGACACGCCCAAGGAGCAGCAGCAGAAACAGCAGCCGCCGCAACAACAACAGCAACACCAGCAGCAGCAGCAGCAACAGGAACAGCAGCAATAGCAGCAACAGCAGCAGCAACACCGGCAGCAGCAGCGCAGTTACTTTGCCCCCTCGGCGCAGCAGCCACCTCCCTTATAGACAGATGCACCCAGAGATATTTGACAGCAGCAGCAGCAGCAACAGCAGCAGCAGCACTAGCAACAACAACGACAAAATCAGCAGCAGCAGCAGCAGCAGCAGTGACAATACAGCAGATAGCAGTCAGTGGCGCAACAGCGCCCTTAGCGGACTCTTAGACGATGCTGCTGCTGCTGCTGTTGGCAGTAGACAGCAGCAGCAGCAGCAGCAGCACGAGCAGCTGCAACACCTTCGGGTGTCTCGACGGCGGTCGATGAGCTCCGTAAGCGCAGCAAGATATCAGAGCAGCAGCAGCAGCAGCAGCAGAAACGGAGCGCTAAGTGACGCGAGCAGAAGAGTGGCGAGGCGACGCAGCAGCAGCAAGAGGCGTAGACGCAGCAGCAGCAACAGCAGCAGCAGCAGCAGTGGTGATGAGTTTGCCCGTACTGCTGCGCTGCCTCCTTCACCATATTATGTAGCAGCAGACAAGCTGCCTAGACACCGAAGGTCCCTGCATGCACTACAGCAGCAGCAGCAAGAGCAGCAGCAAGAGCAGCAGCAGCAGGATGCTGCTGATGATACTGCCTCTCGTGCAGATAGCGAACTCCTCTTACGTAAAGCTTGGGAGGGAGAGCTGCCGCAGCAGCAGCTGCTGCTGCAGCTGCGGCAAGACGTCCGAGCTGCAACAGCAGCAGCTGCTGCTGCTGCAGCAACAGCAGCAGCAGCAACAACAGCAGCAGCTGCAGCAGCAGCGAGTACGCCGCCGCAAGAAGACAGCAATTAGATGCGTTTGTTTAGACTTTATTTCTTGAATAATAAGGTTTTGTCCGTCCTGTTGCTCTGCTGTTGCTGCTGCTGCTGCTGTTGCTGTTGCTGCTGTGTTCTTTCTGTAGTTGCAAAGGCAGCAGCAGCAGCAGCAGAGGCCTGTAGGTAGCTACCTGTTCCTGCTGCAACTGTTGCTAATACTCCTTCTTTTAGCTGCCTTTACTGTGTTGCTGCTGTTGCTGCTGCTGCTGTTGCTGCTGCTGCTGTTGCTGCTGCTGCTGCTGCTGATAATTATTAAAAAACGTTTAAAATCATTGAGTTGGCATTTGCCGTTGCTGCTGCATCGCTTTGCTGCGCTGCAGCAGCGGATGGCAGCAGCGCTGCTCCCCAGCAAACTCTTTAGCTAGCTAGCTAGCTAGCCAGCCAGCTACTTAGCTAGCTAGCTAGATAGTTGGCTAGCTAGATAGATAGTTGGCTAGCTAGCTAGATAGCTAGCTAGCTACAGAGGGGGAATAAACTGCCACGAGAGGGAGTAGCGGCTGCTGGCTTGTCGCTGTGTTGCTAGCCGGCGAACTACTGGCTAGCTAGCTAGCTAGCTAGCCAGCAAGCGTTAGCCAATTGGCTAGGTTAAAAGCTAAATAGCTAGCTCACTAGCTAGCTAGCTAGCTAGCTAGCTGGCTAGTGAGCTAGCTTATAATATATAAATCTCTAGCTAGCCAGCTAGCTAGCTGGCTAACATAAAACATCTAAATCCTTAGCTAGATAGCCATCTAGCTAGCTAGCTAGCTAGCTAGCTAGCTAGCTAGCTAGCTAGCTATTGTTGCATTTGTTGAGGAGGAGGGGGATCAGAGAGAAGAGGTTCATCTTCTCCTTCTTTTGCTTCTTGCTGCTCTTTCTCTGTACCTCTTCCTGAGAAGATTGACCGCAGCAAGCTGCTGCTGTTGCTGCTGCTGCTGTTGCTGCTGCTGCTGCTGTTGTTCCTGCGCAAGGTAGGGTAATGTTTTGCTTCTTCCTGCTCAGTAGCAAGTGCTGCTACTTGTAGCAGCTGGTGCGAAGGTCGTCTGAATGGTGACGCTGCAGCTGCTGCTGCTGCAGCTGCAGCAGCTGCTGCAGTTGTTGCTGCTGCTGCTGATGTATCTGCTGCAGCATTAGGATGACTACGTATAGCCTGCTGCAGCAGCTGCAGCGCAGCAGCAGCCTCAAAGAGACGCAGCACATTTGCTGCATGCAAGCCAAGAGGGAAATGAAGAAATAAGCTAATAGCTAGATGTGTCCATGCAAGAACAGCAAGTTGCTGCTGCTGCTGCTGCTGCGGTTCAGCAGAGAAGAAGAATAATACATTAAGTGCAGCAAGTAATCCAAGAAAAGGAGAGCAGCAGCAGCAGCACCAAGATAACCATCTTGCAACAGCAGCAGCAAGTTGTCCTATACAACCCTTACCATCTGATGCAGCAAACAGCAGCAGCAGCAGCAGCGCAGCAAAAGGCAGCAGCAGCAGCAGACACCAAAACAGCAAACAATATAATAATCCCCTATTAAGACTATAAAGATTTTCTGTCTTAGATGCAACAAATGTTAATAAAGACATTGATGATACATTATGTCCTGCTGCTGCTGCTGCTGCTGCTCCTGGTGCTGCTGCTGCTGCTGCTGCTGTATCTTTTGTATCTTCATCGTCTGCATCTGCTGCTGCTGATTCATCTGATTCATCTGCTGCTGTACCTTCTTCTTCTTCTTGTCCTGCTGCTCCTGCTGCTGCAGGGTTAGGAGGAGGTGTAGCTGCTGCTGTTGCTGCTGCTGCATCTCCTTGTTCTTCTGCTGCTGCTGCATTTGCATCTGCATCTTTTGCTGCTTCATCTGCTGCTGCTGCATCTGCTGCTGCTGCTGCTGCATCTGCTGCTGCTGCTGGATTTGTTTTATGGTGCCGTTTTGTTAAGAAGTCTTGCTCATCATCATCATCTGCTGCTGCTGCTGCAGCATTTGCTGCTGCTGCTGCAGCAGTCTGTGCTGCAGCATGTACTGCAGCACTTCCTGCGACGGCTCTTTTTGCTGCTGCTGCTGCTTCTGCTGCTGCTGCTGCTGCTTGTACTCCCTTAGGTAGATGTACAGGCTTAATAAATGGATAATTTGCCTCTACTGCTGCTAAGAAAACAAAAGGGAATGCAGCAGCAGCAACATTAAGAATAAAAAACAGCAGCAGCAGCTTCTGCTGCTGCTGCAGCCGCTGCTTATATAATAAATCAAAAGGAGGGAAGAGGCAATTCATTATTAGCCAATCTATGCCGCTGCACAGCAGCCTGCATAGTCTGCTGCAGCAGCTGCTGCAGCACCAGCAGCATCTGCTGCAGCAACAACCGCTGCTGCTGCTGCTGCTGCTGTCAATATCGCTGCTGCTGCTGCTTATGTATGTTCTATACTTTGCTGCTGCTATTGAGGAAGAAGAAGACGCGGTTGTATCACCAAGAGAGGAAGTCATTTTGCTGCTGCTGCTGCTGCTGCTCTGGGTCCTCCTTGTTGCTGTTGCTGCTGTTGCTGCTGCTGTTGCTGCTGCTGCTGCTACTGCGCCGCCCGAATGGAAGGGAAATATGTTGCAGTGTGAAGGGGAAGGTAGAGAAGGGGAGGCGCGTAAGAGGCAGCTAAAGCTATATGCTGTTGCTGCTGCTGTTGCTGCTGTTGTTGCTGCTGCAGTTGCTGCTGTTGATGTTGCTGCTGCTGCTGCAGTTGCCGCTGCTGTTAGCAGGAGTGAGGACAGAGGATAGCCGACAGAGTCAAGGAATGAGGTTTAGGGTTTAGGGCTTAGGGTTTAGGGTTTAGGGTTTGTAAGGGTTTAGAAGTAGTCAAGAGGGATGGTATATGATAGCAGCAGCAGCAGCAGCAGCAGCAGCAAATGCGCTGCTGTGCTGTTGTTGAGGCTGTTGCAAGGGGAAAAGAGAAAAGGAATTATGCTACTGCAATATGTGCAGCAGCAGCAGCAGCAGCACGTGCTGCTGCTGCTGCTGCTGCTGGGGAACGAACGGTCAATCGAGGGGACACCTTGCAGGCCTGTTGCTGCTGCTGCTGTTGCTGCTGCTGTTGCTGCTGTTGCTGCTGTTGCTGCAATATATGCTCAAGGGGATCTTCAACACCCCTCTTTAGTAAAGAAGAAAGGAAGGCAGCCTTATTGGGTACCAGATCTCCCTGCTGCTGCTGCTGCTGCTGCTGCTGCGAGTCGGCAGAGGCAAGGAAGAGAGAGAAGTTTTCCTTCCCTGTTCTTTCCTTATGTCTAAATATCTACTGCTGCTGTTGCTGCAGTCTAAATAATTTTGCTGCTGCTGCTGCTGCAGTTTAAAGAATTTTGATGCTGCTGCTGCCGAGCGGGGTCGATACAGAGGGGCAGGCAGGGCCTCCTTGTTAGTAAGAGCAGCAAGAAAGAAAAGTACTTTGTCTTTTATTTATGTTTCTCCCTAGCAGGTAGTTGTTGGTGCTGCTGCTGCTGCTGCTGCTGTAGCAGCAGCAGCAGCACCAGCACCAGCAGCACGACTCGACTCGTTCCTTAAGCGGTGTCTAGTCCGTCCCTCCCCATCCTTCTTCTTTAAGTCTTTAATTATAAGAGAAGCAGCAGCAGGTGCAGCAGCAGGTGCAGCAGCAGCAACAAAATCAACACTCTGTGCTGCTGCTCAATTTTACGCCGCAGCAGCAGCAGCAGCAACGGCAGCAGCAGTAGCAGCTTCTACAAATCTTGACATAAGGCGACTGCTGCTGCTTTTGCCTATACTGCCTGTGGTGCTGCGGCAGTGTTGCAGTTGCTGCTGCTGCTGTCGTCGTACGTGCTGCTTCCTCGGGTCCGCTGCTGCTGCTGCTGCTGCTGCTGCTTCTGCTGCAGCTGCTGACTGTCAGTTGCAGACGGCCTAGTCGTTCCTTCCTAGTATTATTTTAAACAGCAGTAGCAGCAGCGGCAGCAGCAGCAGGATCCGTCGAGCAGCAGCAGCAGCAACAGCAGCAGCTGGGTACCAGCAGCAGCAGCATGTCGATATCTAGATGTCTCGAGTTTTGCTGCTGTTGCTGCGGGTCTAGAAAGGGGAAAGTGAGCTGCTGCCGTTGTTGCTGCTGCTGCTTCTGCTGCAGTTGCTGCAGTAGCTGCAGCAACAGCAGCAGATGTTGTTGTTGCTTCCTCCCTCTCCCTAGTTCAGTGTCTGCTGCTGCTGCTGCTGCTGCTGCGGTTGCTCGGCTGTTTCTGCTGCTGCTTCTACTGCTACGCTTCCTCTGCTGCTTCTGATGCTTCTGCTACTGCTGTTGCTGCTGTTGCTGCTGTTGCTGCTGTAGCTGCTGTTGCTGCCAAATGCATGCGTTTCTGTGTAATTTTATTCGTTGTGTTTTCTCTTCAGTCTGCCCACCAAGATGATATCCTTAAACAGAGAGGTACTGCTGCTGCTGCTGCTGCTGTTGTTGTTGCTGCTGTTGCTGCTGCTGCTGCCTTTATCTGAATGTTGTTGTGTCTAAACCCTAAACCATCCATCTTTGTCTGCTGCTGCTTCTCTTTCTTGCGCGGTTTAGGGTTTAGGGTTTAGGGTTTAGGGTTTACAGAGGCAGTTACAGCTTGCGTTGGTGTGTAAGACCACCTAAACTGTAGCTCCTGAGTGTTGCTGCTGCTGCTGTTGCTGCTGCAGTTGTTGCAGCTGCTGCTCCTGCTTGTGTGTGCTGCTGCTGTTGCTGCAGCGGTGGCGCTAAGCCATCGTATCCTCTCTATCTGCCCAATCAATAAGAATCCTCTGCGTCCTTCTCTTATGTATGTGGGGGAGTGTATTGACGCCGACAGCAGCAGCAGCAGCAGCAACAGCGGCAGCAGCAACAGCAGCAGCAGCAACAGCAGCAGCAGCAATAGCAGAGAAGTAAGCAGTCAGCAAGGAGGGCAAGGCACCTATTGGAAGAACTCGCAGGTCCCTGCAGCACTGCATGTATCCTCGGACATCACCACCGCCAGCGGCAGCAACTGCAGCAACAGCAGCAACAGCAACAGCAGCAGCAGCAGCAGTAGTAGCAGCAGCAGCCCCTGCTGCAGCAGCAGCCGGACAGACCCTGTATCGCATATAGTTCTACCTATCCCCTCTTCTTGTTCGCCCCCGTCATCGGATAGCGAGGCGCAGCAGCACGATCCTGCTGCTGCTGCTGCTGCTGCAGCAGCAGCAGCAGAACTTGACGAACGGTCTCCCTCCTTACGTCTCCTCAAATCAGCAGAGGAGGCCCTTGAGAGAGCCTGGGGTAGTCTTATGCTACACGAGCAACAGATGCAGGAGGACCAGCAGCAGCAGCAACAGGAGCAGCAGCATAACCTAGAGAAAAGAGGAGAAGAGCATACGACGCAGCAGTCCCCCGTGGAGCTACAGCAGCCGCAGCAGCCGCAAGAGCAAGAGCAGCGGCAACAGCAGCAGCCAGAGTGGCAGGAGCAGCAGCAACAGCAGCAGCCAGAGCGGCAGGAGCAGCAGCAACAGCAGCAGCCAGAGCGGCAGGAGCAGCAGCAGCGGCAGCAGCCAGCTTCCGTTGAAGCACTGCAGCAGCAATACTCCGACTCAGCTGCTGCGGGTGCTGCTGCTGCTGCTGAACAGGCAGCGGCATTGAAGCAGCAGGTGTCTTCATTGAGGGAGCAGCAGCAGCAACAACAACAGCAGCAGCATCTGTTGCCCGCAACGTTGCTGCCTTTGGGATCTCCTCGTGCTGCAGCAGAGGAGGGCAGCAGCATAAGTAGCAGCGCCTTCCATACACCCCGTAACAGCAACAGCAGCAGCAGCAGCAGCAACAGCAGACCAGCTAGCTGCAGAAGCAGCGGCACCTGGAGGAGCAGCAGCGGCAGCATGCTGACAGCACGCAGCACCGTTTCTCCCCAAGAAGACTCGCCAGATGCAGCAGCAGCAGAAGCAGAAGCAGAAGCAGAAGCAGCAGCAGCAGCAGAAGCAGCCGCAGCAGCAGCTGATGCTGCTGCAGCAACACCAGCAGAAGCAACAGAAGCTGAACCACAGGCTTCACCAATAGCAGCAACACAAGCAGCAACGGCAGCAGCAGCAACAGCAGCAGAAGCTGCCGCTGCCTCTGCTGCTGCAGCAGCAGCAGCAGCACAAACACTATCTTTGCATAGCAAAGAGAATTAAAACTTTAAAAGAAAAGTATAAAGAAGCCAACGGTTGTTGTTCCTGCTGCTGCTGCTGCTGCTGCTGCAGCACCAGCAGCAACAGTTGAACTAGCAGCAGCAGCGGCTGCTGCTGCAGTAGAGCAGAAGCTGCTGCCATGTAAGCACAGCAGCATCTGTTAGTATAGACACATAAGCAGCACCTGCAGCTATCTGCTGCTGCTGGTGTTGCTGCCGTTGTTGCTGCTGCAGCACTTGCTGCTGCTGCTGCTGCTAGCTACAGTCAGGTGCAGCAGAAGGCAGCAGCACATAGCGCAGCAGCACAGCAGATTCTGCTGACCTGCGTATACACCGCAGAGCAGCAAACTTTTGCTGCTTTTTTCTCCTATTTGCTGCTGCTTCTTTGCAGCTCGTTAGACACATAAACACAAACCCTAAACCCTAATTCATAAACCCTAAACCCTAAACCCTAATTCACGAACCCCAAACACTAAACCCTAATTCGTAAACCCTAAACCCTAAACCCTAAACCCTTACTTATAGCGGAACTGTGCGAGCAGAAATCCATCGTTGGAGAACTCCAGACGCACACTCTGTGCTGTCTCTGCAGCAGCAACAGCAGCAGCAGCAGCAGCAGCGGCAGCAGCAGTATTAGAAGGCCGTGCAGCACAAGCCCGCAGCCGCTACCATTCCTGCTGCTGATGCTGCTACTTCTGCTGCTGTTGCTGCTGTTGCTGCTGTTGCTGCTACTAAGGGGCAGGGACTCTGCTGCTGGGCTTACTAAGAGGGGGCACCAAAGACTGAAGAGCAGCAAGAGAGAACTCATGGCTGCAGCATAAAACAAACAGACACAGGTGTTGTTGTTGCTGCTGCTGCTGCTGCTGCTGTTGCTGCTGCTGCTGTTGCTGCTGCTGCTGTTGTTGCTCTCTTGAGGCTGCAGCAGCAACAGCTGCAGCCCCTCAGCAGCAGCAAAACCGGCAGCAAAAACCCCTTTATAGTCAAATTCAGCAGCAGCCCCATCACCAACACCATCAGCAGTACCAACATCAGCATCAGCAGCAGCAGCAGCAGCAACAGCAGCAGCAGCAGCAGCAGCAGCAGCAGCAGCAGCTGACCGATGTTTCTTAGTAATTCTATAAGAAGGGAAAGAAGTTAATGTTGGCCTAAAAACAATTCTATTAGCAACATGACCTTGGACTGTCTGTACACATAGCAGCAGCAGCAAATTATATGCTGCTGCTGCTGCTGTTGCTGCTGTTGCTTCTGTTGCTGTTGTTGTTATCGTTGCTGGAGCAGCTAATGGTTCTTTTCCTGCTGCTGCTGCTGCTGCTGCTGAGGAGAAAGGGATGGCTTACCAGTGTCATGATAGGCGCATGGTGCAGCTTCTTGTCATCACTAGCACCATACCCTGGTGCTGCTGCTGCTGCTGCTGCTGCTGTTGCTGCTGCTGCTGCTTCGGTAGAGAAGGGAGGAGTCCATTCTATGGAGACCTGTGCTGCTGCGTCATCATCACCTAGCAGCAACTCCTGCAGCACTTCCCTCAGTAGCTGCGGCTGCAGCAGCAACAGCAGCAACAGCAACAGCAGCAGTAGCTGTTTACCAAGGTCTATGCAGCAGCAGAAGAAGATAGGAGAGCAGCAGCAGCAGCAACAGCAACAGCAGCAGCAGCAGCACGCCTGGCTTACATTGACTGTGAGGTAATCTCGCGTGTCTCCTGCGCTTTGTCTTAACGCCTCTCCAATAGACAGACACCCGGGTGACCCCTGCAGCAGCAGCAGCAACAGCAACAGCAACAGCAGCAGCAGCAGCATGATCAATAGCAGCAGCAGCAGCAGGAAGAAGAGCAGCAACAATAATAAGGGAAGAAGAAAGGAGGAATATGCATGCATCTTACTTCTCCTGCAGCAAATGTCTTTATTGCTATCTCTGAGAAGATTTGCTGCTGCTGCTGCGGTTGCTGCTGCTGCTGCAGCAGCAGCAGCAGCACACCTTCCCCAAAGGCATAACGCAGGCGCATGTGAGCCTGCAGCAACAGCAACAGTAACAGCAGCAGCAACAAGCAAATGCACCAAAGCAACAGGCAGCAGCAGCAACAGCAGCAGCAGCAGCAGCAGCACCAGCAGCAGCAGCAGCAAGAGCAGCAGCAAGGTCTTACCGATTCTCCAAAGAGTAGGAGGGCATTGATAAGGGACTTGAGAGGTACTAAAACAGATTCTCCTTCTTGCTGCTGCTGCTGTTGCTGCTGCTGTTGCTGCTGCTGCTGCTGCTGGTAATCAAATCCTTCAAAGAAAGAAACAGGCAGCAGCAGCTCCCCATACACCTCACGGCCTCTAGATACACCGCGCAGCAGCAAACCTGATGAGCAAAAGGTCATACGTAAACATTGCCAATCTGCTACCTCCTCGCTGCTGCTGCTGCTGCTGCTGCTGCTGCGACCTCCAACACCTCCACCGTCAACACCTGGTGCTGCACACAAGTAAGAACAACAACAGCAGCAGCAGCAGCAGCAGCAGCAGCAGCATAGAGAGAGAGGGGGATAAGAAGCCAGAGGTTAAAAGACGCTGCAGCCCACAAACAGCAGCAACCGCAGCAACAGCAGCAACAGCAGCAGCAGCAGCAGCAGCAGCAGCAGCAGCAGCATACAAGTAGAGGGTACAGTGTATGCAAGAAGAGAAGCAAATAGCCCTCCATCCTTCAAATCAAATTCAACAGCCTCAGCATTCACGCTGCTGCATTGAGAGGCAGCCTGCATCCTGCTGCTGCTGCTGCTGCTGCTGCTGCTGTTGCTGCTGCTGTTGCTGCTGCTGTTGCTGTTGCTGCTGTTGCTGCTCTGTTGCTTCTGTCTGCTGTTGGTGCTGTTGCTGCTGCGGTTACTGAGGCTGTTGAGGTTGCTTCTAGGGATGGAATGCTACCTCAGCATGCAGCAGCAGCTGCAGCTGCAGCAGCAGATGCTGCTGCTGCTGCTGCTGTAGCTGCTGCTGTTGTGTTGTTGGCTTTGTTGCTGCTGGTGCTGCTGTTGCCTTCCGGGCTGCTGCTGCTACCGCTGCTGCTGCTGCTGTCCTTGTTGGTGCTGTTGCTGCTCCTTGCTGCTGCTTTTACTGCTGTTTCTGACTGTTTATTCTCCGTTAATCCTGCTGCTGTCCCCAATACTGCTGCTGCTGCTGCTGTTGCTGTTGCTGCTGCTGCTGCAGTGTGTTTATGCTGCCTCCTTGTCTTCTGTGTCTTAAGAAACTCTAAACCCTAAACCCTAAACCCTAAACCCTAATTTAATATCTTCTGCATGCATATAATATCAATTGTTTCTTCTGCTGTTGCTGCAGCAGCATCGGCTGCTATTGCTGCCATTGCTGCTGCTGCTGCTGCTGCTGCTGTGGGGCCCGCTGGGCGCCGCCGACAAGACGTTCCTGCTGCAGCTAGCCGTCTTGGCAGCAAATGGGGTATATAGGCAGCATTTATGTATATATTTATTTATTATTTAATTAATTAATTATTTATTTATTTAATTATTTATTTATTTATATATTTATTTATTTATTTATATATTTATTTATATAATGAAGGAAAAAAAGGAGAAAAAATTGTTTATAACAACAGCAGAAGAATCTCCCTTCTGCTATAGGTATGAGGTGTATACGAAGCTGCTGCTGCAGCTGCAGCAGCAGCACCATCAACGACAACTGCAGCAGCAGCAGCAGCAGCAGCAGCAACTCAACCTCCAACAGCAGCAGCAGCAGCCGCAGCAGCAACAGCAGGTACCAACACCCTTCCCTGCTATGTATACAGCCATTCCTGAGTCATTCCTTCTACACATCCCACAGCAGCAGCAGCAGCAGCAGCATCAACAGCAGCAGCAGCAGCAGCCTCAAGAATGGACCTTCTCTATGACTGTCCGCCGTCAGAACGACGGCTTGCTGCTGCTGCTGCAGGTGGCTCTCTATACACCTGGAGGCGTTCGCGTTCGCCTCTCTGAGCAGCAGCAGCAGCAACAGCAGCAGAATCAACAGCAGCAGCAAAAACAGCAGCAGCAGCAGCATAAGCGTAGACCCTTCGCAGCTGAGGTGCTGCTCGACAAGCAGCAGCTGCAGCAGCTACTCGTCCGCTGCTGCAGCGTGCAGCAGCAAGTAGACAAGACCATCATTACAGCTGCATGCGTTCCCCCAACACAAGCAGCAGCAGCTGCTGCTGCTGCGGCGGTGGCAGCAGCAGCAGGAACAGCAGCAACAGCAACAACAGGAACGCTTGACTACAGTGCTAGCGATGCCCTCGGCCCTGAATGGCTCCTCCCTTGTTCAGCAGCAGCAGCAGCAGCAGCACCGACAGCAGCAGCAGCAGCAGAGGAAGCCACTCAACCTGGAGCTCCTGGTAGCGCCAGCAGCAACAGCTGCAGCAGCAGCAGCAACAGCAGCAGCAACAGCAACAGCAGCAGCAGCAGCAGCAGCAATATATTAAAGGTGTGTATTAATCATACACCCTTTGGGGTGTCTGTACACCTCAATGATTGCGAGCTGCAGCGGCTAAATGATAAGCAGCTGCTTAATTGGGAGAGCAGCAGCAGCAGCAGCAGCAGGCAATTATATACTCCTGCTGCTGCTGCTGCTGATGATGATGATGATAATGATGATGATGATTATACTGCTGCTGCTGCTGCTGCTGAGGGCTATACACGCCCGCGCCAGCAGCAGCAGCAAAGTGTTTGTAGGGAAATTGCTGCTGCAGCAGC